GCCAGATTCCCTGGCCTAGGTAGTGTTTGCTCTTGCTGGTGTAAATAAAGCTGGTGATGGTTTCTCCTCATGGGCATTTTAACTAGGAAAGCACCATTTGGCTTCCAGTCAGCTGGGCAATTAGCATTTTATAGCCAAGCAATATACTTAAATGGAATTGCTTGGCTTCAGCATTGAATTACAGTGGCCGGTAGACTGCCACTCTTTTACATAATTTATTTAGTACTCGCTTCTTGTTTAGGATTCACAAAGAGGTTAATTTAATTCTGCATGAGAAACTAGTAGTTACTCTACATTAATGCTGTACTGTACTTCAGTGCAGGGGAAAGTTTTTGTGTGGAGCTTGTATTTAACCAGTCTCTCAGCCATGGAAGGGACAATTTTGCCTGCTCCTTTCCTAGCAATGTGTTTTTTGCAAGAGCTGTTGGCATGCTTACATTGACACTTTAAAATGCAGCTGAGAATAATCCCTTAAAACCATTTTATTCTATGCTGTTGCACATGTATTTTTAAGAAGCGTGTGTGTTAAAGTCTAGTATGGACCAAGGAGACTTTATTCCTACGAAATGGCAAGGGGCCTATTTACCCTGCTACAAGTAAATAAAACGTTAATATGTGACCATGGTGACTTGAGAGTGAGAGCTGCCACTACATCTTTTCTGATGATCTGAGGCAGAGAGCAAACATCCGGTGTGTGTGATCTCGGAAGAATAAAAAGAGTAGATAAAATGTGTCTTGGCACTCCAGAAACAAATTAGAAACTTTTAGATGGAAGGAATGAATATGTTTGTTCATGCTCTTAATAGTCCTAAGCACTTAACTTGCTGATTAGAATTTTATCCAGACTCTCACATATCTTGATTTTTTTCCTAAACCTCTTGACTGCTAGAATCAATGTGAGGGAATTTCGGCTTTACTTTTGTAAAGCTCCCTTCTTAGCAAAGTGATTGCAAAGAGCTTACAAATGTGAAGCAAGTGTGCAGCAAGGGCTTAGATGCAAGAAGGCTGCTAATGAGATCACAGCATTTATTTATTTTTGTTTAACATCATGATTTCTAGGTAACTTAATAATGTTTTTGAATCCCTGGGGTACCAATCCTGGAGCGCCTAGCTGCCTTCAGCAAAACTTGCTTCTGGCTTAGGCAGTATCCTTCTCGTTGCTCAGATCTGCTGGTTGTCTCAGCCTCTGTCATGATCTGCATCTTTGCAGGCAAGCGCGGCAGAGGGAGCGATCAAGCACTGAACACCCAGTTTGATCTTCACTTAGAAAGTCCTCCCGATCGATACAGGGTCACGTAACTCAGCATGCAGAAACCTTTGTGAGCTTCACCTACTGAGTTTGGGGGTTTGGCTCAAGACTTGGCTGCTGATCTTTATATTGTGATAGAGTTGACCTGCTAACTAGGAGCATCTATTCTTGCAACCATCACTGCTGTCAAAAGAGCTGAGATTTTGAACAAATCTCTTCAAGCTTAAAATATCCTGATCTTTGGCAGAGGAGCATTTTGGGCACCTGCAGCTGCTGCACTAAGGCCTGTCGGGGATTTGTTTTGAATTGGATGCATTAAGTAATACTTCCAATACCAACATTATTTTTTCATTGAAATCTCATTAGCAACAATTAAAAACAAAAAAAAAAAAAACGGGTTGGGGGAGGGGGCAGACAGTAGTCGGAAGGAGGTGATTCCTGACTTGCAGTAGCTGGCCTCCAAGTTGTTTAATGGTCTAGGTGTAAAGCTGACAGCTCAGACCTTAATTCTTCTAATAATCAGGGAAATCGTTACCATGTGTTGTTGCTGTTACCGTTTGTTGTTGCTGTTACCTTTAATGTTTTAACCAAGCTTTAGTTGTGCTGTAAAAATGTTTAAAAGGTTTCTCAGAGGAGGAATTAGATTTTTTTTTTTTTTTTTTTTTTTTACTGGTACAGTTACTCTCCAGAGTACTGTGGGGTTTTGTGGGCTCTTTAAAGTGTTTGAAAACCCTACTTTGCTCTCCAGCAGCTCCTGCCTGGGTGTGCTGCCCCGAGCCATGCCGGTCGCCTGAGTCAGGAGGACATACACATGCCATCTCTGCCTCTGCTGCTGTTTTTTGCAGCTATGTGTGATTTCAAGCATAACAGCATCCTTTTATATAATACTTGCTGCCCTTCTGGGGAAAGATTGCATTTTATCTACCATTTCTTTTGCTAGCTGGGCTTCAGTTGCGTGTCCAGACTAACCCGATGTCCAGTGCAGCTATACAGACCTCCCTGCCTGAACTGAAGACCAAGTTTGACTTTGCAGGGTCTTTGAGGTGGGATGGTAAGATATAAGGGGAGCAGAGAGAACAGACCGAGGCACAGCATTTTACTTGTCAACGGGTGTTACTGCTGCTTCAGATAAAGAAAACAAGAAAATATTGATAAATACTTAGAAGTTGAAGAATTCCTGATTTGAGCTTAGGGAAGGGGACTTTGGTTGTATTTCCAGATGTGGGATTTTAAGCAACAGACCTGAGACATGATCACATTATCCCAGCCACTGAGTCAGTCACTGGGTGTCAGCTGAGCCTTACTAACTTTCTGTGGTTTTAGCCTGGACAAAATCTGAGCTAAATTGATCAGTGTCAGTGTAAAAGCTTTCAGTTAACACATTTTATCCCACGCTTGTAGCTGTGTGAGTGGATGGTTCATTGGTTCATGTCGGTATAACAGAGGACAGTGTATTAAACTGAAGTAACTTTGTTTCTTTGACTCACTTTCCCTATCTCGATAAAGGAGGGCAATGACATTGACCCTCTTTTATAAAGTGTTGACATCTACTGGTGAGCTACACTGCATAACAGCTAGCTGTTGGCATCACAAGCACTAATCTGAAGGTGAAGGCGTTTAGAATAGTAAAGATAGTTATCTGCTTAAATAATTTACTTTTAAAATAAACAGGTTAGAGTATCATCTCTTGCAACAATTTAAATCTTTCAATCTGAATTAAGAAATCACTCTTCGCAGGCTTGGGGCCAGTTCTGCTTGTATTCAGTGACTGTCAGATTCTCGCCAGAAAATGCCAAGTTCAAACAGCCACAAGGGCGTTCAGTTGTGGTTATGTTGGATGGTATACTCAAATAATTTTACAGAAGGAGCTCATGGGAATGTTAACAGCATAAAGGTTAGCTGTAATGTCTTTTGTGTCTGCCAGTTAAATAGCTATCGATCTGATGATTACACAAAGACAACGCAAATTCCTTATGCATTCCTGCCTCAGTGCCGCTCCATGCGCTGGGTGACTGGAAGCAAAATTCTTTCTCTCCTTTGCCATGGAAATTGCTGGTTAAACTCAATACTTCAGTATATGCAAATTCAGATTTTTTCATTTAAAGCCTCATTGCCATCCTGTATTGTCACAGCAGATATTGCAGTCCAGCCATGTGCTGTTAAATCCAATAGGTTTTGCACCTGTTTTGGTAACAGGTGCAAACAAACTTTGTTCGATGTGTCTCAAATGCACAAAGTATAAAATGCATTTGGCTAATGACTCAGTGAGCACTTGGTCTGCATTAGCCAAACCTCACATTGCATAAAGACCTGCAGAGCGTTCTTTTTTTAACAGGACCAAAACCCCCATCAGCTGTGACACTGAGATATTTCTGCTTTATCCAAAAGAGAAACTACTGAGGAGTATGTTTTGGGTATGGATCAGGGAAAAAAAAAAAAAGTGTTATGTCCAAAAATTTTTTTACTTATCAACTGCCACAGGCTCAGTGAAATATTTCCTCTTTCAGTCAGGCTTAATTTTCCTTCTGTGGTAACATTGAAAGCAGAGAAATAACAATGGGGTAACTTGGAGGGGAAGTGTTTGGGTGAATGGGTGATTGTTTCAGGAAATGTTTTTGCTGTGCTTGGCTACAGTACTTTTTTCCCTGGCTCTGAATACTCTGCAAGTATCAATGCATGTGGCCTCGAGGGTAGGCTGGGAAATGGAGACAAGCAGGGAAAAGGCACCTGCCAAACATTTGGTAGAGTTGTATGTGTGAACCTTTGTTTCCTGAGTCCCAGCACAGTGTTTTAATCACACAGCCATTTTTTCTCCCGGGCTTTTTATGTGAAACTTGTCTGCAAAATGTTTTATTCAGATCTTTACAAATGACTGCTGGTAGCTGCAGGTTGAAGCTAACAACTGCATTCCTGTACTTTGTATGTTCCTGGGGTCCACGGCTTATTCTGTTACTATGCAGAGTTCCCTTTGCAATGTATTTATTTGCCCACCTTTAATCATTTTGCCTGCCCTAGGGATTGTAGCCTTTCCTCTTCTTTAAGCCCATTCTGTCATTTCCAAGTAGCTTCACGCAAGTGACATTTAAATGTTGAACCTAAGTAATGCACCTCCCTTCCCTCGTCTTCCTCAAAATAAAATGACCTGTAAACAAAGTTTGACATACTTAAATCTGATTTACTCCCTGTTAAAAACAATGCAAACAAATCCAGAACTTTAAATCCCGTTTCTCTAAGCAGTGCCAGATGCCTGTTCAATAGCTTTCCCCCACACTCACTTCCCCAGCCCATCATTAAAATCTCAGAGCCATGAAATAATTTGACCAATTATTTGAATTACTCAAACTTCACAGAATGGCTTAGCTACCTTTGATGAACCAGCTGCATTTATACACCCTTAAACATGACAGCAGCTGTATGTTGAACATCAAATAAATACAGGTCATGCCTGGGGTAAAGGCATGACTGATTGGTGTGCCTGGCATGGCCACACATTTATCCTGATTAGTGCCATGGGACTCTTTAAGTCCTATATTAGCTATTGTTAAAAGAGGCGATTAGTGTATGTTAGCTGCGCAATCTGATATTTAAATATTCTTTCAAAGATTTCTCTCTCAAGTGGGGCTGCTTCTTGCGACCTCTGACCTGCCAGTATGTTAAAAGCTTTGTAATCAATGGAGCTCTGTAGTCTTTGTGGTGTGATTGATTGGGATTCCTTCACACTGAACTCTGCCTGTTGTTCTCTTTTGTTTAGGAGGTCCTTCAGCAGCTGATTGTAATGAATTTACCAAATGTTTTAATGATTGGCAAAGATCCTCTTTCTGGTAAGTACTTTGTTGGGTTCTTCACCCCCCTCCTCTGAAATGCTAAATGAAATTTATATTTGTTCTATGATTCTATTCTAATTTAAGAAAATAAAATTGTTTAGATTGGAAAAGACCTTTAAGATTATCAAGTCCAACCATTAACCTAGTGCTGCCAAGTCCACTAGTAAACCATGTCCCTGAGTGCCACATCTATACCTCTTTTAAATACCTCCAGGGATGGTGACTCAACTGTTTCCCTCAGCAGCCTTTTTCCAGTGCTTGATAACCCTTTCAGTGGAGAAATTTTTCCTAACATCCAGTCTAAACCTCCCCTGGCACAACTTGAGGCCATTTCCTCTCATCATATTGCTTGTTACCTGCAAAAAGAGACCAACACCCACCTCATTACAACCTCCTTGCAGGTAGCTGTAGAGAGCTCCCCTCAGCCTCCCTGTCTCCAGGCTAAACACCCCCAGTTCCCTCAGCTGCTCCACATGAGACTTGTGCTCTAGACCCTTCACCAGCTTTGTTGCCCTTCTGTGGACGTGCTCCAGCACCTCAGTGTCTTTTTTTGTAGTGAGGGGCCCAAAACTGAGCACAGTGTTGGAGGTGCAGCCTCACCAGTGCCGAGCACAGGGGTGTGATCACTTCCCTATTGCTGCTGGCCACACTATTGCTGATACAAGCCAGGACAATATTGGCCGCCTTGGCCACCTGGGCACACTGCTGGCTCACACTCAGACAGCTGCTGACCAACACCCCCAGGTCCTTTTCCACTGGGCAGCTTTCCAGCCACTCTGCCCCAAGCCTGTAGTGCTGCGTGGGGCTGTTGTGACCCAAGGGCTGGACCCAGCACTCAGCCTTGCTGAACCTCTCACAGTTGGCCACAGCCCATTGATCCAGCCTGTCCAGATCCCTCTGTAGAACCTTCCTACCCTCAAGTAGATCAACACTCCCACCTAACTTGATGTTATCTGCAAACTTACATAGAGTGCACTCAATCCCCTTGTCCAGATCATTGATAAAGATATTAAACAGAACTGGCCCCAGTGCTGAACCCTGGGGAACACTGCCTGTGACTGGCTGCTGACTGAATTTATCTTCCTTCACCACCACTCTATGGGCCCAGCCATCCATCTGGTGGTTTACCCAGCAAAAACTACTCCCATCCAGGCCATGAGCAGTCAGTTTCTCCAGGAGAATGCTGTGGGAAACAGTGTCAAAGGCTTTACTAATGTCTAGGTAGGCAATGTCCCCAGCCCTTCCCTCATCCACTAAGTGGGTCACTTTCATAGAAGGAGATCGGGTTAGTTGAGCAGGACCTGCCCTTCCTAAACCCATGCTGACTGGGCCTGATCACCTGGTTGTCCTGGACGTGCTGCATGATGGCACCCAAGATGATCTGCTCCATAACCTTCCCTGGCACGGAGGTCAGGCTGACAGGCCTGTAGTTCCCCATATCCTCCTTCCAGCCCTTCTTGTAGATGGGCGTCACGTTTGCAAACCTCCAGTCAACTAAGACCTCCCTGGTTAGCTAGGGCTGCTGATAAATGATGGAAGGTGGCTTGGTGAGCACTTCTACCAGCTCCCTCAGTACCCTTGGGTAGATCCCATCCAGCCCCATAGACTTGTGTGTGTGTCTAAGTGATGTAGCAAGTCACTATTTCCCGTTGGATTATGGGGGCTTCATTGTGCTCCCTGTCTTCCAGCTCAGGGGGCTGGGTACTTGGGGAACAACTGATCTCCCCATTAAAGACTGAGGCAAAGGTGCCATTAAGTACCTCAGCCTTTTCCTCATCCTTTGTCATTATGTTTCCCCTACATCTGATAAAGGATGGAGATTCTCCTTAGCCCTCCTTTTGTTGCCCATGTATTTATAGAAACATTTTTCTATTGTCTTTTACAGCAGTAGCCAGATTAAGTTCTAGCTGGGCTTTGGCCTTTCTAATTTTCTCCCTGCATAACCTCATGACAACCTTGTAGTCCTTCTGAGTTGCCTGACCCTTCTTCCAAAGGTCATAAGCTCTCGGGTTTTTTTTTGTTTTTTTTTTTGTTTTTTTTCCCCCTAAGTTCTAGTCAAAGCTCCCTGTTCATCCAGGCTGGTTGTCTTCCCCACCAGCTCATCTTTTGGCACATAGGGATGGCCTGCTCCTGCGCCTATAACATTTCCATCATGAAGAATGTGCAGCCTTCCTGGACTCCTTTGCCCTTCAGGACTGCCTCCCCAGGGACTCTTTGTCAACCACACTTCTAAACAGGCCAAATTACAAACATGTTTTTAAGCAAACTATATGTATTTATAGTGAAACTACAAATATTTGAGTACCTCCGAGTCTCACAGTTTAATGTAGCTTATATGTAACACTTCTGTTTACACACCTGTGCCTGCAAATATAATATCTGATATACACATGTTTGCACATCATATACATACGCATGTGATACTGAGTTAGTTCTTGTCAAAGCCAGAGCAGCAACTGTTTGCTTGAAAGTCATGTCTCCTCACTTCTTGCTGCAAGTGACTCAGTCACATAAAAAGTGTCCTGGAAGCCAGTGAGTTCATGTCCGGAGTCCAGTGTCTTTGGTGAGACAAAATGAAAGCTCTTTAGCCTGAAAATGAAGTTGACTTCTCCTAGAAACCACGTTTCTGAAATGAAAGGTTTTGTTGCTGTGGTTTTTACTTTTTCTCTGCATGCCCGTTCTAGCTCTGCCTTAGCCTCGTGCTAGTGCCAAGGACAATGTATTTGTTTTCACCAAAGAAGGAAAACTGGATGAACCCTGTCAGCAGTGATAGGGAGTGACATGTTAATCAGCATCTCCAGAACAAACAAAAGGCAGAAATCTTGGCAGAAGACTTTATTTTGCTGCTCTTAGCAGCAGTAGTGTGTGCATGCACAAAAAAAATGGGGTTTATACCAGAAAAGAGTATTTGCTTACAGATGTTGGATCTCTGAAACTCAGTCTTGACAATTCTGCAGTAAAATCAAGCTGAGGAGAAGGCATCCACTTTTTCAGCAAGCAGATTAAAGTCTGCAGTGTCGGTCTTAATTCTCCTGTACAGGCTACTGTTATGGGTGAAGAAAAAAATAGAAATACAAGGGCTGATGCTTTTCTCAGTCATATGGGCAGTGGGCAGAGCCTGGGCTGCTAGCATCAACAGTGCCAGTGAATAGAGATGTCTGGGCCAACAGGGCAGTATCTCTGCTGGCTAAGTGTCAAGGGAAAAGGCTGGCTGGTTTCTTGTCATGGCCATTCCTGAGTGACAGCTGGCAGGAGACTCAATGCAGTAACCATGGTGTTGGTTCCTGGGGAAGCTGCACACTTGAAAGCTGTCCTGTATTTAGCTATAATTTCCCGTCGTTGACCTGCTGTTTTTTTTTTTGTCAGCCCCTTAAATCAATCTTTCTTTGAAGAAGGTACCTGTTGTGCATCTTGTAGTGAAAGATACTGGCCATTCATGTGTTCCCATCTTCTAGCTCCTTTAACTACAACCAGAAATTTTGCTTCTCTATTTTAAAATATGACAGAAATAGTAGTTTGTTTTTGTGAGTTTTTTTGGTTGTTTTTGTTTGGTTGGGTTTTTTTGTTTGTTTGCTTGTTTTTGTTTTGTTTTGTTTTTTTTTTTATAATGTGGTCCTCTAAAACTTATTTTACCCTTTGCTGACTTATAATTGGAATTGTTGAGAACATGGGAACAGTGTAAAGAATGCAGAAATGTAACTTCTGGATGTCTAAAATCGATGGAGTATGTATATATAAAAAATATTAACTTCTTGTTTAGCCATATTATATAATGGTTTTGAGAACCAGTCCCAGCTTAGACACTACAGAGGAAGGGTGATGAACGAAAAGGTATTTGCTCCAAAGAATATATTAAAGGAGGAAAGTGTCTGAGGGCTAGTATTTCAAGAGCAGCTCATCTTAATCTTACCCTTAAGTAGATGATCACTGGTCAGATGTGCTGAAGAAATGGTTAGAGAAGTGGATAACTAGAACTTCTTTTGGGAAGAGGAACCTGGCTGAGAACTGACAGGAAGCTCCGGAAAAGGGAACAGGGAGAAGAAGGCTGAGAAGTTGGTAAAACCAATACAAAAAGCTAACTGAAGGAATAGGCTGCGGTGGGCAATGTGGGTGAGTGATGACCAGGTGGATGTCAGGTTGTGATGTCTCTGTTACTGAGTGTCTTGCAGAGAGGAGAGGAAGGTAGGGGCACTTGGGAGGGGAAAAACAAGTGAAAAAGATTCTCTCTGTCAGTGACAGAGCTAGAGGAGGGCTGCGGATTGAATAGATAGGGTGAAGCAAGAGAAGTGGTGCTTCTGGTGGGAATACAGACAAACCTCAGGGAAAGCTGACAGAGGAGCAAGGAGGCTGGGGTTAACAGCAGTATGGGGAGAAGAGATGATGGAGATGGTTATTTGAGGGAAGTGTTGAAAAGTGGCAAGAATGGTAGAGGAGAAACCTCTGTCTCTGTGTCAGTGATCCAATCCAGCACAGAGGTGGAAGGAGAAGAGTCCTGGAGGGGACATCTGCAGAGGCAGTGCTGAGCAGTGTGAGGAGCACTCGGAGCTGGAGACCGAGGTGCGGGTGGTCTGCAGGGCTGGGGGGGATCTGAGAGCCTGGAATCCCAGTTTCGCTTTCCCTGTCCTGTAGGTAAGTTACCTGAATGAAAGGTCCCTCTTAACCAGAGGAAGAAAAATTGATTCCAAGATCACATTCCTGGAACAAATATAGCGTTGCCTTGTACTGTTTGAGCTGGGAAGGCTCCTAGTGACTGTATTGACTCAATAGATCCAAAGAGAGCTGTTAGATCATTCCATATGATTCACCGTGTAACAATTTCTGTGACTTATTCCTTGTAACAAGCCCATGTGATGTTTTGCTATGCATGTTTTTCAGAGCTGTCTTTCACCAGTGCTATCTGCAAATTTTACTTTTACCTTCTAAAACACAGACAAAAGTGGTGTTATATGTATTAAATTATTAACTGAACAGCTCTAAAGCTGAGAATGCAGTTCTTG